GGGTGTCTGAGAGAGAATGGGGCTTGTCTGTGAAGTTCCTTCAGACCAGTTTCTTGTTCTCTCCTTCTCTCAGTAGTCCCTGAAGGTACCAAGTGTCCCCACAACCCTGTCATCCTGAAGGATGCCCACATCCCAGGATCTGCCCCTCCCCACAAGGACACCCTCCCTGAAAGGCTGTGAGCTACTCTGTCTCTCTGACAAGGAGGAGTCTCTGGGCTCACTGTCACCATCCTGGAGAGCACATTGCCATTTTATCAGGGACTTTCCACACTGGCTGGAGAGGAGGCAACTTTTCCTGGGGTTGCTCAAATAATTATCCCAAAATGACCTTGAGTATATCTTCCCTGGTAGTTAAGTGCCAAATCCAGGGTCAGAATTCTTGAGCATTTGAACTGGAATCAGGGAATGTTACAGTTGCAACATAGGAACTGGATTTTGGATTGCAAACTTTAAATGTTTGAATAACTTTAGACTCTTCAGGCTAGGACTGGAATAATAAATAATTACAGCCAGAATTATAGGTTAACCAGGGCTAGAAGTCGTGCCAACATCATTCTGTCTATCCCACCTCCCTCGTAGCTGAGAGGGCTGGCTTCTCAGTCACTCAGTAAGTCAGGCCTGTTTTTGCCAGGCCTCTTGTCCAGCAGGGCCTGTCCCTGAGACCCTGTGGAGCAGAACTCTAGGGGAAGAAGCACTCCCTGCCTGGGGACAGTGGACAGCAGGGACAGTGGCCACCCCTGCCCCTGCCTGAGGCCACCACAGCACCCTGTCACAGAAGATATATTTAGGTGCCCTCCCCAAGTGTGTTTCCACAGCTCCCAACACTGCCTTTTATGTTCTCTTGTCCCCCAAGGCCTCTGGGCATCTTCTCTAAACTGACCTGATGAAGTCACAGGAACAGGAGCTCTTGCTCTGCCAACAAAAATGTTTTAGTCCTAAAAATAAAGCCCAGTCTGAGGGTCTTCTGGTCCCCGGTGCCTGGAGCTCAACTCTAACCTCACAGCCTCCCTTCTGGCTCCCAGGGCCCACCTTTATCTAGGGGCCAGACATCCGTCTTCCTGGTCAGCTTGCCGTTTCCACTCTAGGCAGAGGGATCTCAGACCTTGCTCCTGAGTGTTCTCCTCAGGCCGGTCCACAGCCACCACGGGTCAGTTCCTGTAGTGGGTGTCAGGATGGGAAAGCTCCAACCAAGCCTTAGGGCCCCCTGTCTCTCTCCCACTGACGCCTCTCTCCCACTGACCCCCGAGCCTCTCTCCCACTCTGTCCAAGTCTTGTCAGAGACTTACATTTGCCCTTTTCAGAGTATCTTCCAGGAGTCAGGCAGTCACCGAGAACACAGTTACAGGAAAGGTCTTTCAGGCACCTTCCACCTGCCTCTCTCACCAGAATCACTGACTTTGTGAAAAACAGAGTCCTGGGTGGGCAGGGAGCTACTCATGATGGGGTCTTAATCACTGTCACCATGGTTTTGTCACTACCTGGTAGGCTTTTTATGTGCCAGGGATTGCTTATATCCAAGCACTCAGCCAGTCCTCACAATAATCCTATAAAGTAAATACTGCTAGGACCAAAAGCATATGATCATCTCAGTAGACACAGAAAAAACACTTGACAAAGGCTAATACTCATTCATTATAAAATAAAAACCAGCAGAAAATTGGAATAGATGGTCTTTATCTCAATCTGATAAAAGTTATTTATGAAAAATCAGCAACCAGTGTCATCCTAAAAGGACAAAAACTGAAAACATTCACTCTAAAATCAGTAACAGGGTAAGAATGTTCACTGTCAGGGGCTGGGGATTTAGCTCAGCGGCATAAGCGCCTGCCTTGCAAGCAGGCAGTCGTGAGTTCGATCCCTGGTACCGATAAAAACGAAAAAGACCAAAAAAAAAAAAAAAAAAAAAACTTGAAAAAAAAAGAATGTTCACTGTCACTACTCTTATTCAGTATAGTTCTGGAAACATTAGCAGAGCAATTAGATAAAAGGAATAAGGATAGGGGGCTTGGGATTTAGCTCAGTGGCATAAACACCTATCTGGCAAGTGTGAGGTCATGAGTTCGATCCCCAGTACCACCAAAAAAAAAAAGGAATAAGGATAGGAAAGGAAGAAGTTAAATGGTCATTATTTGTGGATGACATGATACTTAACATAGAAGATCCCAAAAACTCCACAAAAGACTTCTAGATTTAATAATCAAATTCAGTACTGTAGCTAGATAAAAAGTAGGCACTCAAAAATAAATAGCATTTCTGTACACAAAGAATGAACTCACTGAGAGAGAAATTAGGGAACAATACCTTTCACAATAGTATCAAAAAGAGAAAAAAAAAGAAATACCTAGGAAACCATCCAACAAAGGGTACCTCTGCACTGAAAACTACAGTAACTCTGAATAGGAAGAACTAATATACAGATTTAATGTAATCTCAATCAGAGTCCCAATAGCATATTTCACAGAATTAGAGAAAACAGTACAAAAATTCATTTGTAATCAGAAGAGATCTAGACTAGCAAAGGCAATTCTGGGCAACCCAGGCAAGGCAGGAGGTATCACAATCTCTGATTTGAAATTATACTACAAAGCTACCATGGTAAAAACAGCATGTTAGCAGAAAAAAGACTCAAGGATCAGTGGAACACACTAATTGGTGCAGAAACAACTCTAAATACGCAGCCACCTTATCTTTGACAAAGGGACCAACCACCTTTATTGGAAGAGAGTAGCTTTTTTAATAAATGGTGCTTTGAAAACTGGCTTTCCACATGCCAAAGATTAAACCTAGACTCATAACTTTTACTATGCACTAAACTAAAATCAAAATGGATCAAAGATCTAAATGTTAAAATAGAAACACTAAATCTGCTGGAAGAGATAATAGGTAGAAATCTTGAAGACACCGGTGTAGACAGAGACTTAAACCCCGATCACATAGGAACGATCACAAGGAATCAACAACTAGATCTTACCTTTTTTTTTTTTTAATCTCATCTTTAAAAAGCTGTGTACAGCAAAAGAAATCAACAGACTGAAAAGACAATTCACAGAGTGGGAAAACTTTTTAGCCAGTTGTTCTTCAGACAAACTACTAACATCTAGAACATATAAAGAACTGAAAAAACTCAGACCCCCCAATGTATAGGCCCAGTCCAAAATTGGCATCTGGAAATGAATACACACTTCTCAGATGAAGAAATACAAGTGGCAAATAAATATATGAAACTATTCAGCATCTCTGGTCATTTAAGAAATATAAACTAAAATGATGCTGAGATTCTATCTCATTCCAGAAAGGATGGATACTATCAAGAAATTAAATAATAACGTACTGGAGGGGCTGTGGGGGGAAAGGACCCTTTTCCCTATTGGTGGAAGTGTAGATTGTACAACCACTCTGGAAACCAGTGTGATTGCTCAAAAAGCTAGGAGTAGAGGTCCCATCTGACCCAACTATTTACCTTTTTAGTATCTTCCCAAAAGGATTGAAAGCATCACACCACAGCGATATGAGCACACCCATGTTTATAGTGGCACAGTTTGTAATAGCTAAATCTTGGAAACAAGTCTACATGCCCACCAAGTGATGAATTGATGAAAGTGTGTTTTTAAAATGCCATGCAGTTCTACTTGACCATAAGACAGGATAAATTGAGATCATACTCCTAAGTGAAATAAATTGGTCACACTTGTGTAAATGTAACATTTTTTCCTCTGGTGTCAGAAACTGAAAGTGTAAATAAAGACCAAAATGTATATTAGATATTGTGAAATAGGAAGAAATTGTTCAAAAGGAAAGGGGAATTAGGGATGGGGAGGTAAAGGAAGGAAGGGAAAAGAAAAAATGAGAAAAGGTAGCGTGGAAACAAAGCTTTGTAAATAAGCAGGGGAGGAGGTTTGAAGGGAGGACAGGAGAATAGGAAAAAAAAAAAAATCAAGATACATCATGTAGAGGTCCAAATTCCCTATGATGTGATCATTATATATACCTAAAATGTATCCATAAACCTACTTAGGAAGATATAAAGGGAATTCTGTTAACACCTCCATTCTACAAATGAAGAAACTGAGGGACAGAGGAACTTTGCAAGTAAAGTGCCAGAGCTGGGGTCTGAGCCACACCTGAATGCCACCGCATTTTTGCATTCCCAGATGGCAGCTTGCTGTGGGAACCCCTTCTCCATGGTGCCCTGGAATCATACAAGTGTAGTAGACATGAGAACCTCATCGATGGTCAGGGATCCTCTGCAGAAGCCCTGTCCCCTGCCCTTGCTCTTGAAGTGACCAAGATGCCTTCACATAACACACATGCCTGACCTCACAGTTAGCGTCCCTGAAGTTTCAGACCAGGGGCTCCTGCTCTGCAGGGTGCTGGAGGGTCCAATCGAAGGATAACAGGGTAAGCCTGGAGCTTACTCAGTGGATGATAAGTAACCAGAGCATTACTTTTACATTAAAACAATGAGAAAATCTTACAGAGGAGATTGTGAAATCCACAGGAATCCTGAAGATTAAGAACATGAGCCTTCAACGGATCAGTGTCTGTGTGTGTGAGGAGAGGGGGCGGAGAGGGGAGACAGACAGACAGACAAAGAACGCAAGCAAGCACATGAGATCTGTCTCGCTTCCCCTTCCCAGACCCAGAATCTGCTTTCATTCTCCCAACTTTCGAGGGGGACGGGTGCAAAAGTGACAAGCGCTGCCCAAATGCGCCTTCTTCACCTGGCTCAGCACGCCACAGGGAGCATCAGGTGTGCCCCACAAACCACCTCACAGCGGGCACAACACACACAGCACACCATGTTGCCAGCGCCCCTGCCACACAGCACACACACAGTGGAGCCTCTGGGTTACCCTGGCTGGCAGTCACATGCGGCTGTACATGGGCACCACGCACACAGTTCACATCCAGCGTGGCACGTGGCACTGTGTACACATACACACCGGCTACACCCAGCGCACTGCTCACAGCGCCAGCCACCCGTAAGTACAGGGACTCACCCTGGGGGTCCCACCGGGACGCAGCGAGCCTGCACCCCCTCACCGGCGCCCCGTGTTCTCAGGGTCCCTTCCTGGCTGCGTCCTCACCCGCGGAGCGGAGCCTCAGCGTCCGCAGGTCCGGAGATTTCACGCAGGGCGGCGGAATCATCAATCGACCGACCAGACGGAGCCCGCGCGGGCGGCAGCTGCTGCTCAGCCCCGAGTGGCGCCCCGAGCAGCAGACCAAACCCGCGGGGAGGGGCTGCGGCCGGCGGCCTTGGCACCCGCGCTGGAGTCCCGCCCAGCCAGCACCGGGCTGGGCTGCCGCCCCTGAGGGGCCAGGAGGCAGTGAGAGTCTGGGGGAGGCCACGGGCTCCTGGGACTCCTGGGTTCTTTGACCTCAGTTTCTCTGTTTGCACTGGTTGCGTGGTGAGGATGGAGTGGAATGATGATTTCTGCCCTCTGTCAGACTACAGTTGCAGGGGGTGGAGTGGGGTGGGGCGGACAGGGGAGAGAAAGAATATGAAGTGTAATTTTTTGAGCAAGTATGTACCAGACATTGTGCTGTTTGAAAATTAATTTATTATTTGTGGTATTAGAGATTGAACACAGGGCTTTTGCACTGACATCCTCAGATTTTTAAAAATTTTAGACAAGGTCTTGCTAAATAGATATATTGACTAAACTTGGCTCGAAATTACAATTCTCCCATCTCAGCCTCCTGGAGTACGGGCGTACAGGCACGCACCACCAAACAGCTTGTGCTGTCTATCTTAATGCATTGCCTCATTTAACCCTCATAGCACTATGGAAATGTTATTATCCTCGTCTCACAAATGGGGAAACGGAGGCACAGCAAGATAACTTGGGACTTGCCCAAGTTGGTAAGTGGCAGGCCTGAGATATAAAGCAGGCAGACTGACCACAGGGTCCAAGTATACCTGAAGTTTGGGTTTATAGTGCTTTCCACATCATACACTGCTTCCTGGTGCTCATAACAATCCTAGAGCTTGGTTCTACTAACCCGTTTTACAGATCAAGAGACCAAGGCTGGGGGGGAATTAGTTTGCTCCTGTTTACCCAGTTAGTGGGATGTCAGATTAAAGATGGCAGAGGGAACAGGAGGGGTGCTAGGGACAGTGATTGTCAAGGAACCAGGTATGGTAGCACAAGGTATGGTTTGCATTCTGGGAGGCTGAGACAAGAGGATTGCAAATTTGAGCCCAGCCTGGGAAGCTTATCAATTTATCCAGACTCTGTCTCAAAAGAAAAACAAAACAAAAAAACAAAAAAAACCCCTGGGGATAGGAATCAGTAGGCAGACCTTATACAGATGGAAAAGGGATCTGGGGGTGGAGAGAGATAGGAAGGAGGGGAGAGAAAGGGTAAATAAAAAGAATTACGATGTGAATGTATATGTACCAACTTCCCACAGTAAAGGTATTCATTACGAATCACAAGCATGTATTAAAAAGGATGGGCTCTGCCTTCAGTGTGAAGGCTCTGGGTTCAATCCTCACTACTACTAAAAATACAGTGCAAGGGGACAGAGCCTGGTACACTGTAGCAGGGCCCCTCAGTGTCCCTCTCGATTCCACTCTCCTCCTCTCTCTTCCTCCCTTTCATTGCCTATGATCTGACTGGTGGAGAGGCACCTCCAATTGCCTCATCTCTAAATCTTCCCTTGACACGAGCCAGCTCCTCTTCCCAGCTACCACTGAACTTTTGCCCAACAATCAGGGTTCCAGTTAGGTGCCAGGGTGCGTGCTAGGTACACTGGGGTGAAGAATTAGATGGTGTTGGCCTGGTGGAGTTCATAGTGTAGTGAAGAGAACATTTGTTAACAAATAAGCATGCAAATGAATGCAAATAGTAGCTATGCAGTGTGCCAAGGATAAGTGAAAGACCAGAGGAGAGATTATAGAGTCAGGTAGGCAGACTCTAATTTAAACCGGGTGATTTGGAAGGCTTCCCAGAGGAAGTGACATTTCAGGTGAGACCATAAGGAAGCACTGGCTTCAGCCAGGTGGAGATGAGGGGACAGAACCCCAGGCAGGAGGGACTGCACAGAGTTTCCTGAGACTGGAAAAGCCTGCCCGCCACTGTTGCCATTTTTGGAGGAGTTCCATCTCTGCAGGACTCTGCCCACCTAACCTGGTCTCTGCCCCCAGAGCACCTTCGAGGTGACCCAGCCAAGGATCCAGTGATCTCCATGAGTCAAAAGCAATGTGCCTTCCTCAGTCAGTCACCCTGACTGCTCCCCACACAGCCTGCACAGCAACCTTCAGGGTCCCCCTCCTTCTCAGACACCTTCCCTGGGGACACTGTCTCTCCTCTCTTCAGGGCTCTGTTCCACCCCCATTTTGCCCACTCTGCCCATGCATGCTCCCTGGGGAAAGGCACTCTTTCTCTTTACCCAAGTACCCTGGAGACTCATGGTCCCCACTCCCAGCCCAGCTTGTCTGCTGTGTCCCAGACCAACTCTTCCCTGGATGTCTGTCCTTGGAGGATGACAGTAACCCTTCCCTACAACAACTCCCCTGTCTTATCATCTCAGTGAACACCACCAGCCCCTGTCCTCATTCAACTCTGGAATTTTACTTTCACTATGCACAAATTTACTATCAGGATGAACTACATTCTAGTAGTACAAGGTGACTATGAATTCACTCAATAGAATTTTATACAGCAGAGAAAATGAATGCATATGTCAAGAAAGCTAAATTTACATATGTACAGTGTTATATATGTATATATTTATAATATATTTTATGAAATAATGCAAATAACTGTGTTTTTTTTTGTCTTTTTCATTTTTATCGGTACCAGGGATCAAACTCACGACTGCCTGCTTGCAAGGCAGGCACTTATGCTACCGAGCTAAATCCCCAGCCCCAACAAATAACTGTTTTAAAACATGCAAAAATAATACTAAACTCGTAGAAAACATGTAAAGACATGAGTAGGCGTGGCCCACAGTGTTGCGGTGACTGTTGAGGAAAAGGAGATGGTAAGACTTTTTTCTCCTGGCTCTCCCAGGGCCCTGCTTGCTGTGCAGAAACGGAGGGGATGGGCAGGGACAGCACCGAGAGCACGCCCCTTCCCCCCAAGCCTCCTCAGCCCTCCTGACCCAATGGGGCTGAGGGCCTCCTCTTGCTCCCAAGGCTCCCGTGCGGGCTTCTGTCACACCAGAGCTCTTTGGCTTGACCTTGCCTCTTTCACCTCAGACCCCCACCCTCCGAGTTCCAGAGCAGGCACCAGGTCTGTGGCTCTCCAGACCCTCGGCACAGTGCTCTGTAAACATCTAAATGAAGGAACGTAGATTCTCTGGGGATTTAGAGTCCTCATCACTACTGATGTCATCCATTCATTTCTCCTCTGATGCCTGGTATGTGGCAGGCCTGCACAGGGCCTGTGAGACACAGAGGTTCTTGGCAGGTGCCTGAGTGTTAGGGAGGGCAGAGCAGGACTTGATGGCCTTCGGGACAGAGAGAGGTGAACCATACAGAGGCACAGGAGCACAGAGAGGCCACTGGCCCAGTCTTGGGGAGGGGAGAAGGGTAGGATCAAGATACAGGTACAACCTAGGCTCAGTGTTTTTTGTTTTCTTTCAAGGTTAGAGTTCTCTGAGTAAAGTGGAGTTAAGGTGTTCCTGGAAGAGGGGGAAGCAATTAAAGGAACTGAGATTCAGCATGGAAAACTTAGGAAAGGTCATGAATTCAGTCCTAGAGTCCAGTGGGTGGGAGGAGTGGGGCAAGATAAGGTATCAGAGAGGTCAGGCAGGGTCTTAAATGACAGGCTGGGTAATTTGGTTTATCTTAAGTCTAGTAGGAACCCAGGAGGTGTTTAAGCAGGAGTGAGGCTGGGTCGAGCTCAGAGTTGTCTTTAGAAAGATGGCTTGCCCTGGGTGCCGTGCACAGGGACAGGGGGACAATATGAAGGCTGGGCCAGGAGTCTGGGCTGTGACCAGGGCAGTAAAACAAGAAGCCTTATAAGTGGGGAGATGATTGGAGGACAGATTCTGGGGCTCTTTAGGAGCAGAATTTAGGTAGATTGCATGTGAATGTGAGGGACAGGAAGGGGGTGTCTTGCTTGGCTCTAGGAGCAAACCCTGACGCAAAGGTTGAAGTCCAAGTAATTTGTCTTGGAGGTGAGCCAGGAAAAGCAAAGAGGCCAACTCAAGTGGATGCCAAGCTGATCGCCACGGGGGGTCGCTCCTGTTGGGAACCTCTGAGGCTATACAGAACGTGTCTCAAAGATGTTCCTTCTGAAGTGGGGAAGCTGGAACATTTGCCCACAACTCTAGCCTGTCATTGATTAAAGGCTGACCTAAGAACTTTCAGCACTTCTGGCCAAGTGTGCTGCAAAGTTCAGAGAAAAACCCCAGACAGAGCCTGAGGTTGTCAGAGTGAGATTTTAGGGCTGGGATATGTGATAACTACTTGCTGGGGTCAGGGCAGGGACCTAGGTGGCTGCTATAGAGTGGGAACCCTGTCTTCTGCTGGAGATTGAGCTCTGGTCCTCCCAGGGGAGTGGAGGAGGGAGTCTGTGTGGGAGCTGGAGTGGGAAGTGGGTCTGGACCTGGTGGTCCTGACTACTCCATCCTCCCGTCAGCCCTCAGTCTTTCTTGCCTGGTCCATCCACTTGCCCCAGGTCTTCCTGAGTCTGCAGAGTGTCACCCTGGTTTCCATGGAGACTGTGTTCCAGGCTCCAGACATGTTCACTTTGATTAGCTTTGCTGAGTGGTTTGATCCCGGCACTCACATCAAGGCAGAACCATTTAGTGACTCTTCTTTAAAATCAAATCTGGTCAGCTAGGATTGTCAGTAGGCTGGAGAAACAAATGTAGGTCTGAACAGCTTCATGCATGGTCCTCCAGGTCAAAGGATGGGTGAGGTAGATTCCTCTGTCTTTGGGATGGAACCATCTATCAGTTAAAGCAGGGAAGAGGACATAGCCAGAGTTGAGACTCAGGGCGAGCAGCCAGAGCAGCAAATGAACAGCAGCGCACTGCTGCTGAGGCCAGGGGAGTGGGGCAGGGAAAGGGAGAGGATGGCAGGCATGCAGAGGGGCCTGAGAGCCAGGTATCCCCTTGCTGGCTCCAGGAGAGGCCAAGGAGCCCTTGGCTAAGCTGTCTGCAGCAAATTTGCCTCCTCCTCTT